GACCATCAAGTGCACATTCTTCAATCCACTGCTCGATGAGGGCCTCCCCACGCAGCACGGAGGGGGGGAGGTTTTAGTTTATTCTTCACCACGTTGCTCAGTGCGGGTTGAAGGCAGAGAGCGTAAGTGCGGGAGCATGGAAGTACAGCACAACTATGGATTCTGCAACGTCGCACTGCAGCGGCCCATAGCACCTGTCCCGTGCAGGGTGGTGGTCGCCTCTCCAAGCACGAGCCAGGCTCAACTCTTTGGAGATCTCACGAGATGGGGTGGGGGGTGCGGTGCATTCTTGGTGATTCGGTCATCGGCAGCAGTGATGACGAGTTACATCGTTGTCGTAGCGGTCGTTGTAATGGTGGTCTACACCAGTGCACGTGGCACCTCGTCATAAAGACACGTGCCATCATCAACCGCACCGCACTACACAACACGAGAGCACGTGTTATAGCACGCACTGCTATTGATTAATCCGTGAAGAGATGCTGAACGCGTCCGGCATATGGCCGGTAACTCGAGAACGAAGAGCAAGCAGCATGAGGATGAGCAATTCACGAAAATGAATTCGTAAAAAATAATAATCCCCCCCCACTTACAAAATGAAATCGTGTTGTTGGTGTTGTTTAAGCGAGGCAGAGGCAGTGGAGCTGACAGCGACAGAAGGGGGAAGATGGCAGCGGCGATTGCCACGGGAGACGCCTCTTAACTCGCAAAGCGAGACAATTCGAAGATGAGTCTCGATTTGAAGGGAATGAGAGCGAAGTTCCTTCTGCGTGGCAGCTCGCTCTTACTCAGAAGCCCGCGCAGGGTCTCCTGGGGAATCACCACAATCTCTCTCTCCGCTCTGGATCGTGTGATGTCTTCAGAATGAAAACTTTGGTTTGATATTGAAAGGAATCGCTTCGAAGATTCACGGAATTCTCACGGCGCCAACCGTCAACGTGCACGTGTGATGTGCAGCCGCGAGTCAACGCCATCACTCGCGCGCCCTGATCTCCGCGCTGACGAAGGTTCGCCGAAGGGGGCCCTCTCTCGCCCACCACACTGCTGAGTGATCATTGTTGATGGGGGGGGGGGGGGGGTGAGAGTAAGGGCGCCGCTGCGGCGAGATGTTAACTACCTCGCCTAGTCAGCAGGAAGTCGTGGGTTCGATCCCGACCCTGACCACGCCTGTATATACGCCTGTATATCTGAAGTTTTCGTGTCTCTCCCCGTGGTCGCGTTAATTTTTTCTCCGAGTCCTCTGGTTTTTCCCTCCACAATTAGAAGCATGCGTTCAGAGCATTTGACTGCCATGAATTTCGACATGATATAAGCCACTTCGTTGAGCTATCATTCGTGAGTGCCAGGTCGCTTCTGAAACCGAGCTATATTGCTCGGTGGGCCTTACCTGGTACAATAAAATAAAGTTCAGTTTTCGTTCACACACATCGATCGTCACTGATGCGAGCCGTGACCGACGATTCGAGCTCGGGTGACCTGCTGCGCCATTGCGCTGCCAACTCCGCGTCGCCAACTGCGCCGTGCGGGACGGGAGCGCAACGCCGGCGCTCCCCCCACCCCGTGGACGACCCCAAGGCTCCTGGCGACCCCGTGAGCAGTGCGGGTGCCGTGCCACCACGAGCCTCGCAGAGCCGTCGCCGCCGTCTCCTCCACCAATGAGCGCCTTGGCATTGGCACTCAGCCCATGTTTCCAGCCCTGAGCCGGTGGTGGAAATTCCACATTCACGTGGCGGGGGCGAGTCCATCCACAGGACAACCGCTGTTTGACTTGCCCAAAAAATGGATAACCATGTTGATCGACCTCGGAGGGCCAATGAGTTAAGTTAATCCCCCTAAGCAGAATGTGAACTCGTAACTTTCGCTCTACCGCCAAGGTGCGCATCTCCTTGTGACATGAACCTCGCCGGAACGACCTCGCCGGAAGTCCGGTCAAGTCGGGTCCTAATCTAAGCCGTGGGGCGGTGGCGCAGTGGTTATCTGCACACTGGGCGGTAATACCAACCCGGTCACCTGAGTTCGATTCCCGGCCACCCCTCACCCCCTCTCAGCGGGGTGTTCACCTTGGTAAACGGGTTCGCACCGGATTTCAATAAACACGACACTCGGCAGGGCCACACGTGACCATTTCCGTGTCGCAGGTTGACTGGTGCGGCGGTGGTGCACGTGGTGCGACCCCCTGCCGACAATCACCGGGTCCGATGGCAAGCTTGGGTGGACGGCCACCATCGTGCACAACAGGTGCTATAGGCTGCGACGGGGCGACGCTGTGGGGAGCCAGAGGGCAGTGCAGCAGTCGCCACTGTTGGAAGCGGACTATGTTCGAGGTCTATGCGCCCCCACCGTCGGCAACTCGCACACACCGGCGCGGTGGGCGAGCTGTGTTCACGTAGCCCCCCCACAAGTCGCACGGTGCGTGGGGGGGGGGGGCTTATCCAGCGGTGGATCGCGGTAAGCTCTGCGCCGGTGCGACACGCCGCAGTCTCTGCAGGCCGCGTGAGTGCAGCGCTGCTCCTCCACGGGTCGCGAGAGCCCCAACGTTTACCCGCAGGACAAAGCCGCCCCGTTTAGCCTCAACGGACTGTTGGGGCAAGTGCAGTCGCGGCGAGCAACTCTGAAGACCGTGCCGGCACACCTTTGCCTCGCCAGCGCTAACGTTTACACGACCCGCATCAGGTAATCATTTTGAGGCCTGAGTCGACCTAGGGGAGGCTCGGGTCTGGTACACGCGATCGCCACGAGTGTTGCCAGTGGCGCTCACCACAGGAACGCGCACGCCCCAGACGCGACACAAAACAGAGACGTGCACATCCCCCACAGCCTGCGGAGGCATGTCGCCTCCGCGGGCTGTTTGGGCAAGTGCTGTTAGTGAGCAGCAATGAAGTTGGGTGCGGATGTTTACACACCGAACCAGATGTTCATTTAAGGCCGACTCAACCTCCGGAAGGCTGCTCAGGACCGGCGTTCAAATGATCCTCGCCGATTCTGGCAATGAGTGGAAATCACACCCGGGTCGTCGCGTTCGTAGCGCAGTGGAGCGCGAAACCACTGCGCCACCGCTCCACCCAGGGCACACATCCACACACAGACGAGGGCCACGGCTCACAGACATTCACCGGAGCTGGCTCGCCCACCCATCACACTCACCACAGCGATAATAATAATAATCACGAGGAGGAATCCAACCGGAGGGCAACACGCAGAAACCCGGAGACAAATCCACGCGACCACCCTATCAGAGCCCCCCCCCCCCACATCGCCCGCTTGATCCCATATCGGACCTCAACCCTACCGAACCCATACTTCACCAAAGCAGCACCTGTTGCACTCGAATGCGAACAACCCTCGTTCGTAGAAACTAAACCGACATCAAATTGTTTAGCAGCTAAAGCCCCCACCGCGCTGTTGGCTATTTTTCCGAGGTGGCCTGGCCACGCGTGATGAAAGCTCATCGTCGAAGTGGCTGAACGCAGCATCATCATGACACGTGGGGTTAATTTATAGGCGCAGCCAGATAACAAACGCGTGTTGATTCTAAATGTAGAGGGGGGGGGGGGGGGGCAGAGAACAATCCACGCAACCACCCCGAGGAGAGAGAGAGAACTCGCGAACTACAAATGCAGCCGGCACCGCCAAGGTCCGGGGCTCGAACCAACGGGCCCGTGCGCAGTGGAAGATACCGTCTCTCGTGTTTACAGTCTTTGTGTAAACGGTGAGCTCGTGACCGGAAGCAGCTGTTTGAGATGTTGGCGCTGAAGCGAAGCTCGCGGTGGTTGCGGCTGGACAGGAGCACGCGGCTCGACTCTCCGAGAGGGGAGAGGGGGGGTGAGTTTTACTTCGTTTCTCGAGTTGCTCGTTGCATTATAATCTGTGGGGTGTTTAATCGATTGCATTCTCCACCACAAAGCCAACGCGTCTGGAACACGGAACAGCGCCTTACAGCAGCAATGTACAATGTGATGGCGTTTCGGGGTGTGAGCTTCTTCTTCAGAGCTGCACGAGAGAGCGGACAGATGAAGTTGGCGGTTGGCGACCAACGCTGTGCGTCACATTCTGATGGAAGAGTTTCAAAGCGCTGCGGAAGTCATGATGCTGCTCGCTGCTGCTGATGATGCTTAAAACACGAAACACGTCTCGCGACAACCGCTGATGCGGTGGGCTGTGGAGATCACCCCGCTCCCCTCGCTCACCCTCCACAGCTCGCTCACCCCACTCACCTCACCCCACCCAGCTCACCCCACTCACCTCACCCCACCCAGCTCACCCCACTCACCTCACCCCACTCACCTCACCCCACTCACCTCACCCCACTCACCTCACCCCACTCAGCTCACCCCACCCAGCTCACCCCACTCACCTCACTCCACTCACCTCCCCCTACTCACCTCACCCCACTCACTTCACCCCACTCACCTCACCCCACTAACCTCACTCACCTCACCCCACTCACCTCACCCCACTCACCTCTCTCACCTCACCCACTCACCTCACCCCACTCACCTCACTCACCTCACCCCACTCACCTCACCTAGCTCATACCTCACTCACCCCGCACACTTTACTTGACACTGGCGAGTGTAGAGAGGCAGTCACACACACTACAGTCACCAGACAAAGACAAATATCCCCGTATAGCCTTAACAGACTGTTGGGGCAAGTGCTGTTAGCGCGCACCTATGAAGGACGGAACGGCACACGAAAGAGCAGATGGCCAGCAACACGCCCGGGCCACCTTTGTCTCCCTCCTGGCGATGTCTACAACACCGCACAAGGTCCTCATTTGAGTCGCACGCCACGCCACGGGGAAAAGGAGTCCCGTCCCCCCCTCTCCTCGAGTCCTCCAAAATACCCCCCCACCGCCCCCCACCCCTGCCCCCCACCGCCCCCACCCCTGCCCCCCACCACCCCTACCCCCCACCGCCCCCCCCCACCGCACGAGGTCGCCCCGAGTCTCTGCGAGCCCCCTTCGCCTCCCCGACATCTCCGAGCTGCTGTTGACGAACCTGCGAAGTGAGGTCTGGCCGAGGACGCCGAGGAGACGCAACTCCCGCAGAGCAGCAGCACGAGCAGAAGGCGCCGGTGATGACGGCGATGATGATGATGTTGCTGCTGCTGATGTTGTTGTTGATGATGTTGATCGGGTTCCATCGTCACTCGAGTCTTCCTTCCTCCTCGTGACGACTTCCACTCCTCAACCACAGACGGTCCAGAGTTCCAGGAATTCTCTACTCCCCTCCACCACCTCGTGTCCACCACGTCGTCCTTCCCGGCGTGTCCCGAGTTCCCTCTCTCCCCGAGTCTCTGCGACCTCCGCTCACGGCGAGCGCGTCCGCGCTTCACTCGCTGCTACTCCTACTCCTCCTCCCCCTGCTGCTGCTGCTCCCAAAGTTGCCTCTCCACTCCGCGGCCTCTCTCGCGGGCGCGACCAGAGCGGCTGTTCCGAGAGACTGAAGTCGTCCCGAGTCGTCCCGAGTCGTCCCGAGTCGCCCCGAGTCGCCCCGAGGTTTCTTCAACTGCGGCGCCACCGACCCCGGTGGTTTGTTGTTCGCGGGCCCCGCGCGATGCCGCGCGCTCTCTCCTCTCTCGCTCGCTCCTCACGCTGCGCCTCTCCCCCTCGCAGCCTGATCGCTCCTCCCTCCGTCTCCCTCTGCTCTCCCCTCCCCCGTCTCCCTTCCCCCTCCTCCCTACCTCCATACCTCACCCTCGCCCCTCCTCCCACTCTTCTTCCCGCACCTGCATAGCTCACCCCTCCCCCGTCTCCCTTCCCCCTCCCTACCTCCATGCCTCACCCTGCCTCCCTCTACCTCCATAGCTCACCCCGCCTCTCCCCTCCCCTCACCTTTGCCCCTCCTCCCACTCTCCTTCCTTACCGCCTCCTAACCTCACCGCCCTCTCCCACCGCTCTCGACCGCTGTGCGCTCGCTGCGGGCGAAGTCACGTGGCTCAGCCTCTCGACTTTCGAGGTGATGAGTTTGATCCGGGTACAGGGAGAGGGAGGCAGAGAGATACGAGAGGAGGCCCCAGTGCCGTTCCCGACTCCGGCACCGAAACCCACAGTGGCACGGACATAGATTAACATCTCGCTGGCCAGAGATGCGCCCACATACAGGGCCACCAGAAGACACGAGACGCATCAAGACATCCAGAACATCCTCGCTGAGTCTCAATACTCATTTCAAGACGCTCGGCATTTTCCGATTCGCGCGCGTTCGAGAGGGAGACGCTCACACTTCAAACTGCGCGCCGCTAAGTTAGCGGCCAATTACCGATGGGCGTCTTGTTCACCTCATCCTATCGTGATCCGACAACCCCCGATTCCCAAGTCGCTGTGGCTCAAGCGTGCGTCATCACTGCAATTCAAATCGTTTAAATGATTGATGATTGACAGCTGTCAACCACTGCCTCCCTCCACCAACTTCCTCTACACACCATATCGATGTGTAGGGGTTGCTGGACCCTACTCCACCACACTAGGCAGCACGGTTTTGTTAGGGCGAGGGCTGAACCGGTTCCGGGTATCGTTTGGCACCCACCACTGCGCCACCGCTCCGCCCACGAAAGCCTCAAACTAAACATTGGAATGCAGTCGCCGATTGAAATGGTCGTCTCTCTCTCTGCATGTGTCACACTGCACGCGTGACCGTCTACGCGAGTCCGTACATCTGCGTGTCCGTGTACGCTGAGCCAGAGACGTGAACTCCATTACGACCACGGCCAACATCATCAATGGCGAATGATATCGCAACCTGCCTCGCCTTCCACTGGGTCGACTGCATCTTGGAATGAGCCCACAGCAGCTACCTGGCGCGGCGTGTAAACATCAGCACTTGGGGGACAAAGGCGGTCGGGCCTACTTCTAGCCACCCCCACCCCCTCGGCGTGCCGTCCCTGCCATAACACATGCTCGCGAACTGCACTTGCCCCAAACGTCTGTTGAAGGCTATACGGGGGACATTTGTCTTTGTGTCAAGCGGCGGCGAGGCGGGCTACGGGGTACAGCTCTCTCCGGCGTGTGTTCGCGTTGTACCGCGTGTTGTTCGGTTACGATGTCCGACGTTTCGCTCCACATACCACCGGGAGTTTATGAAGCAACTGTATTCGCGACCCCCCCCACCACCACCTTTCCATAAACAAACAAACCGTGGAGACTTCTCCCCCATCTTTGATGTTTGGCAGTCGCAGCGATTTTCGACGCGCGCCACTCAATCCGCTAGCGGCACACGCCCCCTCCTGTCGACTCCACACAGCCGAGGCTGCAGCCACGGGGATCGTACGGGCAGATAGACGAGTGCGTGTGTGCGTGTGTGCAAGTGGCTGGTGTGGCATGTGTGTGGGGAGCGGTGGTGTAGTGGTTAGCGCTCTGCGCTACGAACCTGGCGACCCGGGTTGGATTCCGGCTCACGGCCAACACCAGTGAGGATTATTTGAACCGGTCCTGGTCCTCCCCTCGGTCGACTCAGCCTCAAATGAGTACCTGGTGAGGTGTGTAAACATCGCCACTGGGGAGACAAAGGCGGCTGGGCGTGGTGCTGGTCACCCACTCCCTCGTGTGCCATGCTGGCCTTCATAGGTGCTCACTAACAGCACTTGCCCCACCATTCTGTTCAGGCTATAGGGGGGATCTTTGTTGGTGCTGTATTTATGTTGAACTGTTTTCATATCATACGTGGCCAACCGTGCTAATCAGAGGTGCGATGTGTACACATCAGCACTGGGAAGACAAAGGCGGCCTGGCGTGGTTGTGGCCACCCGCCCCCTCGTGTGCCACAGTGCCTTGCTATATAGGTGCTACTCGCTAACAGCACTTGCCCCAGCAGCTTAAGGATATACGGGGGTGTTCGTTTTTTTTAGCCATGCGTGGGGAGCGGTGGCGCAGCGATCAATGCCGCGCTACGAATCAGACGTCCCGAGTTCGATTCCCGATAATGGTTGCATTGGTGACGAATATCTGAAATAGTCCTGGGCCTCCCCTAGGCCGATTCAACCTTAAATGAGCGCCTGGAGCGGTTTATAAACATCAGCATCGGGGAGACGAAGGCGGCCGGGAGTGATCGTGGCCACACCACACCCTTGATGGGTACAACTCGCTCAGTCGCCAACAGCGTGCGCAGGCTACACGGGTGGCTCGTGGACATGCGTGTGTCTGCCTCATTGGTGTCGCGGTGCGAGAGCGCCCGGGTTCAATTCCCGGACAGGTCCAACTATCGTGGGGAGCGGTAGCGCAGTGGCGAGCGCACGACCACCGTGACGGCCAGAGGGCCTTAATCCAGCAGTGGACAGAACATAAGCTGATAATTATTAATTTGTATTCGAATTAAGCGTTGTCAATTCAAACACCCGATGGTACGGATACAATTATACACCGCATTTTAAATCCCACAAAATCCCATACAATCCCTCTCATACCAATGACAAACATTTACTCCGTTAATCTTCTGCGCATTAATTTTCCAATGAATGCGATTAAGGAGGCGTTGAATAACGATGCACATCGTCCTCTCTGTACGAGTGGCGTCAAAGCGGCGCTGCCCACGGGTACGCGGCGTGCGCGCCTCTTAACGTCTCCGCGTACCCGTGAGTGCGCGCGCGTCTCTCTGCTGGGGGACGGTAGTTTAGTGGTTAGCGCGCTGCGCTATGAACCCAGCAACCCGGGTTCGATTCCCGCTCACGGCCAACACCAGTGACGATTATCTAAACCGGTCCTCCCCTAGGTCGACTCAGCCTCAAATGAGTACCTGGTGCGGTGTGTAAACATCGCCACTCGGGAAACAAAGGCGGTCGGGCGTGGTGCTGGCCACCCACCTCCTCGTGTACCGTTCCGGCCTTCATAGGTGCTCGCTAACAGCACTTGCCCCTACAGTCTGTTAAGGCTACACGGGGGATCACGCTGCGACATCGCCAAGCCAAACGTCGCGTGACCCCAGACAGTGCCGCGTGACCCCAGACAGTGCCGCGTGACCCCAAACATTGACGCGTGACCCCAGACAGTGCCGCGTGACCCCAGACAGTGCCGCGTGACCCCAGACATTGACGCGTGACCCCAGACAGTGCCGCGTGACCCCAGACATTGACGCGTGACCCCAGACAGTGCCGCGTGACCCCAGACAGTGCCGCGTGACCCCAGACATTGACGCGTGACCCCAGACAGTGCCGCGTGATCCCAGACAGTGCCGCGTGACCCCAGACAGTGCCGCGTGACCCCAGACATTGACGCGTGACCCCAGACAGTGCCGCGTGACCCCAGACAGTGCCGCGTGACCCCAGACATTGACGCGTGATCCCAGACAGTGCCGCGTGACCCCAGACATTGACGCGTGACCCCAGACATTGACGCGTGACCCCAGACAGTGCCGCGTGACCCCAGACATTGACGCGTGACCCCAGACAGTGCCGCGTGACCCCAGACAGTGCCGCGTGACCCCAGACATTGACGCGTGACCCCATACATTGACGCGTGACCCCAGACATTGACGCGTGACCCCAGACAGTGCCGCGTGACCCCAGACAGTGCCGCGTGATCCCAGACAGTGCCGCGTGACCACAGACAGTGCCACGTGACCCCAGACAGTGCCACGTGACCACAGACAGTGCCACGTGAACTTCGAGCGCCGATCCGTCGACGTTAAAACGCGCCCGGAGCTGCGTGAAATCAAATTGCGAGTTTTTTGGATCACTTCGTGAGACAAAGCACGCGACGAGTGCTCTTTGGGGTGGGTGGCGGGGGGAAGAAATAGGATGGGGGGGGGGCATCGTGTGCAGCAGTTTCCATTTTCAAACCTCGACCCGTACGAGTCAGACCCGCAGACTCGTCCTTCAAGGGCCGCTCTTACAATCGCAGCATCACAACCCCCACCACCCCCATCTGCCTTTAGAGTCGTGCCATTGGTCGCCAACCTGTGCGGGCCACTCCGTTGCCCGTGTCCGTGACCGGCGCTCCTCCTCCTCCACCCCGCACGCGTGTCCCACTCATCACACGGGGGGGGGGGGGGAGTGGGAGACCTCTCATTCACGCCCCTTTCTTTCTTTCTTTACAACACCTCCAACAATGTTTACCCCGCCATGCTCCTCCCTCACCCCGAACACGTGTCCCACACATCGCAAAGCCTCTGCCTGGTTACGCGCACAACGTGTTCCTGTCACGTTCCATTACCAACCTCCAAGTTATTTACCCCTACCTCCTCCTCCTCCACGCGGAACCGGCGTCTCACCCATCACGATCTCCCCTCCGCGCTCTACTCACCGCGCTTTTCTGCCACGATCTCTTCCCAAACTCCAAATTGCTTGCCCTATCCTCCGTGCATCGCCATAGCCGCACTCGATTATGAACTCACACGTTGCTTACGGTATGTTTGTCGGGATGCTCTTCGCATCAATTAAACAAGTAAACGCACAGGAGGGTCGGGGTGTGAGGGCTGCCAACACCACCTTCTCGTGTGCCGCGCTGGACTCAACAGGCGCTCGCTCACTTGTAGCTCGCCCCGACGGACTTACAGGACGATACGGGCGCTCTGTGTACTTGTACGCGCAGTGACCGGCGATGTCCTGCTGATGAGCGACAATTAATCCGGCAGAAGCCAAGCAGCGCTCAGCCTGGACAGTGCACGGACGTGTGACCCATCGGAGTCGCGGGGAGATGCTGCGGGCAGCAGGGGGCAGTGCAGCGAAACTGTTGTACTGTTCCCCTACGCCCCCACCTGTGTATGTCTTCAACCCGCACTGACCAGCGTGGTGAAGTATGGTC